ATAGACTTGGAAGGCGCGCGCACGGGTGGGCGAGGAGGGAGCGCGCGCCCCGAGGAAGGAGAGCGGGACTTTGGGGAGGGGCCGCTTTCTGCCCCCCCTCCTCCGGCTTTGCCCTGAAAAGACTCTAACCCTTCTTAGATCCAATACCATTCTGCTCGGCCATCACAGTCACTCTGAGATAAAGGGCGACCACCTTAGGTGGTTTCAGCCACGGCCCCATCCTCACTGATTCCTGGCCCAGGTTGGTTGCCATGGCAACCCCTCCCAGCCTAGAACACCAACAGCCGCCTAGAACACCAACAGCCTCTCCTCCCCTCCACTTTTGTTCTTATGGAGCCCCAAACCTCTCCTGTCCCTGCACCAGGAGGAGGTTGCTAAGGTAACCTAAATCCCTGGTAGTCCTTCTGCCCCTACCCTCATTGGTTACTATGGCAACCTCACCTAGTACTCAGGTGAGGACCCCAGCCCCAAGGACACTGATTACTGAGGGAAACACCTCTTTCTCAACCCATCCCCCTAGCCACCCAGTTGTTATTACCATGGTAACCATCTCCCTCCTTTCCCATGGTGGGAGGTCCATGGACCAAACCAACCAGTTATTTTATGTTATTTTATTTTTTTGCAGGAACCACCAAAGTTTTAGTGTTTATGTAATAGCACAACTGACCAAGATCCAAGATGTGAAGTTACCAGGTTCAAGAAACCAGGGGGAGGGGGGTGTTGCGGGGGGAGATCACTATCAACTATGTGATAGAAAGAATGCATACTCTACAACATAAAACCTGTCTACACATAGTTATTAATTGCAAAAAGCCATTTGGTCTTCTCTTGACTTGTAAAAACAGTGTTCCAGATTCCAGTGTAAATTAGCAACCTTCAACTCTTTTGTGTACCAGGTATCTTGTTTTCACCTTCTAGGTCTTCCACGCCAGCCTGTGTCATGAGGTCTGCAATGTTTTTCTCCAGGTCATCAATGCGACTATTCATGTCATCAATTCTTCCAATGATCTGGTTGGACATGGTCTGAAATTTATCTTGCATCTGTTGCAGGAGTGTCTGCACCACCGAGGTGAGATCCTACACAGCCTTGGAGTCAGTCTCGGCCATCTCCCTGGCTCCCAGCTTGGCGGTGATATCTCAGACGGCCTCGAACATTTCCGTTTATCTGCACAGACACCCCCAGTGGCTTCTTCTCATGACCACAGATGCCAGCCCAGGTATTTTAATTTAGAGAAGAAGATGCTCTGCTGAAGAGTAGTTGCTATGGTTACAGGGCCTGACCCTCCCTAGGGAGGTGAGACACAGGCAAAGCTAAGCCCTGATTACTATGATAACAGTGGCAGTCTCCCTTCCAGTGACCCTAGGAACAAGGCCTATCAAGGTAGATGTTTTAGGATTGTCTCTCAGGATGGAGTTTGTCTAGGGAAGTAGTTGTCATGGTAACAGCTTCTATCACTTTCAGCCCTACCTTTCTGGACACAGTCATGAGAGAGGGATGGTTATAGGTTACTATGGTAACTGACATCCTTCCCACCCATTCCTGAGATGCTCCAGGTAGTGTCTGGACATATAGGACTTCAAAAGAAATGATTCCCTGGCCTCATTTTCACTTTTGTAGGTAAGATGAAATTGTGCTCTACTGGGCAAAGTTGGCTGATTTGGTGTTTTCTGGTTCTCCTTCCTTTAGCAGTGCAGTTGAGCAAGGCTAAAACCACCCCCCTGGAGCCTGCAACATAGGAGGTAAGAAGTTTCTCAGTGTCACCAGCACCCATGTGGACACTGCCCTTTCCTTGTCCTTAGAGGCTTTCCCACGTATCTTCTCTACCCATCGCATATCCATTCTACCGATGCAGCAAACTGAGGCTCAGGCCAGATCAGACTCAGGCCAAGTGAGCCCAGACCTGAAGTGATCCACTTACATTGTTTTGTGCGAAGTGGAGAGACAAAGTCTCATCTTGTCTTCCCCTTCCTTGACCACCTTTTCTAAAGCAAGCCCCTGTTTTTCTCTGTCACGCCCCTGCTGATTTCTTTTCCTATTGCTATATTGTTTTCCTGCCTGTGGAGGGCCTGCTCAGTGACTGTCCAGTTCATCCCCTGTCCCTGGAACACAATGTCTGGCACAGAGGATGCTCAATAAATAGCTTTGTTGAGTTAGTGAGTTGAATTCATTAATGTGCCATATTCAGCTTTGAAAGCACTGGTCAGGTTAGAGCCAGGGGAAGGCTCAAGGAAGGTAGGCCCAAGAGAGACAGTAGAATTGATTGGGTTGAAGCACAACTCTGGAGCCAGCTTCTTGGGTCAAATCCTGGGTCCATCACTTTCTAGCTTTGTGACCTTGAGCAAGTGACTTCACCTCTCTAAATGTGATCATAACTTAAATGTGATCATAACTTAAAGACTAAAAAAATTAATATGTGTAAAGTATTTAGAACCAGGGTCTGGTACATCATGAGCAGGTGGAATATTCAGACCTTCAGAAATCATTTCATTCACCTTGCCTCAATGAAGGGGTTTTGAACCCTTATAGTTAAGGAAGCCAAGACTGACCTTGTGAAGGTACTAGATGATTCCTTTCTCCTTCCTCTTTGGTCCCCTCACCCAGTAGGTGGCACCTCCTCATCGAGCCATCATAACTCTGGTCTCTGAGGACCCAGTTTCTGTCCTCTGTCCTGCTGGGTACCTCCTCGCCAGCAGCAGCCAGACAGAGCTTAGACAGTGGAAAACTGGGTTCTGGTCCCTGCGTCCTTTAAGTCTCTGAGCCACAGATTCCCTGTCTGAACAGTTGGAGTCACTTGTTCATTCCACACATATTTATCGGGCTCTTGTTATGGGCATACAACAGGGAACAAAACAGACAAAACAATAAACAAGTAAAATCTATGTGATAACTACCAGGGGAGAAAAAGAACTGAGAGATGGGGCAGAGGAAGTATGTGGGTGATAGAAGAGGCATTTTTAAATAGGTGGTCAAAGGAAGGGCTGATGACATTTGAGCAAATACCTGAAGGCCGTAGGGAGGAGTCAGGTGGATACCTGCAGGCGAGAGCATCCAGGCAGAGGGAGCAGCCAGTGCTGCGGCAGCAGTGGCCCAGGTTTATTTGAAGAATGGCATTTGGTGGCCCGTGTAGCTGGAGCTAAGTAAGAGAGTGGAAGAGGGTGGGAGATCACAGGGTGGGGAGGTACGGGGCTTATGAGTCACAGTGAAGGCTTTTCCTTCGAGTGATTTCAAGCCACACAAGGGTTTGAGCAGACGCAGGACAGGATCTAATTCAAGTTCTAACAGGATCCCTTAGGCTCTGAGTAGGGAATAGACTATAGGGGACAAGGGTGGAGTGAGGATGATCTTTTTAGAAGGCTTAGAAATAAGACTTATTTGAAGAAAAGCCCAAGGTGGCTTAGGCACAGTTTGAGGAGGCATGGCCAGATATGGGGCTGGAATGGTGGGCAGGCCAGGGCCAGGTCACACAAGGCCTGTGGGATGTTGTAAGAAACTTCAGCTTTCTCCCCGGGACACTTAGGAACCTCTGAGCAGGGAGGGAGAGGTCATATTTGTGCTTTATGAGGATCCCTCTGGCTACCTCGAGGAGGGGTCTTCGTAAAGAGATTAGGGGAGATTGGTAGGGGACCTGAGTGGGCCCAGGTTGAGGGGGGAGCTGTGGGAATGGGAGGAAGGTCAGAAGTATTTAGGAGCTAGGAAGATTAGCTGGGTGTCTGATGTCCCCCTTCCTGGGTGGAGCAGAAACCTATAAAAATCCATGGGGAACTTGAGTATGTGCTCAGAATCCAGAGAGTTAGTTACACTTCCTGTGCTGGAGACCAGCCAAATCTTCAAATTGTACTGGGGACAGGGAGACAGCGCCATCTGGGGGTTGCTTAGGAGTGTGGCCAATGAATGGAGGGAGTCCCAAGACTGGCAGCCTCTTTCAATGTAGCCCATTCCATTTAAAACAACACTTTTTTTTTATTGTGATAAAACACACATAACAAAACTTAACATTTTAACAATTTTTAAGTGTATAGTTCAGTAGTATTAAGTATATTCACATTTTATGCAAACAATCTCCAGAACTTTTTCATCTTGCAAAATTTCAACTCAACCCATTAAACAACAACTCTTCATTTCCCCCATCCTTACAGCCCCTGGCACCCACCATTCAACATCCTAATTCTGTTAAAAAAAAGTAGTGGCCAACATAAAGATTGGGATAATTCTGATTTAAGAAAATATTTCTGACTTTTCTTGTAAAACCAAAACAATCTGGCTGACCATCAGGAAAGAGATGACCAGATGGCACAGGATTTGAGGAAGTGAGAAGGGGGCAGCAGGGGAGGAGCTTGAGGGGACAGGAGACAGAGAGATCAGGGGTGGCTTCCTGGAGGAAGGAATGGTAGAGCAGAAGGTGCAAGTTGGGCTTGGGAATGGGGTCTGGGGCATTAATAACTGAACCCAAATCTGAATGAGAAGTTGACAGTGAATAGAAGAGTGGGATTGTACAAGGAAGAAGGGAAAGTGACTAATTTAATAAAAATTTAGTACCTAATGTGTACTGGCTCTGTGCTGAGTGGCCTTGGGAACCTAGTAGTGACCAAGATAGGCTCCTTGTGGGTCTCACAAGTGGGAGGACAAGACAGATCCCTAAACAGTGATGACTTAGAATGGTGGGGCTAGAGTGAGGAAACCAGAGGGTGGGAGGCGCTGAAGGAGTCCAGAGCAGGGTGCATGACCCACTTTGGGAGGTCAGGGAGGGCTTCCTGGAGGAGGGGAGGTGAGAGCTGAACCCAAATAAGGAAAGACTGGAAGAGAAGGGCAAGGTTGGAGGGGTTGCTGACAACCACTCTAGCCTCCCCTTTATTTCCACCTCCCCAGGATGCTCCCGAGGCCCAGCTAGGGCCTGACTTCAGCCCCATGCGGCTCACCCGCTGCCAGGCTGCCCTGGCAGCTGCCATTACCGTCAACCTCCTGGTCCTCTTCTATGTCTCGTGGCTGCAGCAACAGCCCAGGAACTCCAGGGCCCGGGGCCTGCGTCGAGGAACTGCCGCCGGCCCCCAGGTTACTGTCCTGGTACGAGAGTTCGAAGCCTTTGACAACGCAGTGCCCGAGCTAGTGGACTCTTTCCTGCAGCAGGAGCCAGCCCAGCCGGTGGTGGTGGTAGCCGACGTGCTCCCTTACCCGCCCCTGGCCCTGCCCCGCATCCCCAACGTTCACCTGGCACTGCTTCAGCCCGCCCTGGACCAGCCCGCTGCGGCCTCGCGTCCGGAGACCTATGTGGCCACTGAGTATGTGGCCCTGGTGCCCGATGGAGTGCGGGCTGAGACTCCGGGCCAGCTGGAGCGCATGGTGGAGGTGCTCCGGGCTGGAGGTGCACGCCTGGTAGCCGCCCGAGTTGCCTCAGCCAACCCTGCCCGGTGCCTGGCCCTGAATGTCAGCCTGCGGGAGTGGACGGCGCGCTATGGCCCGGCCCCCTCCGCGCCCCGCTGCGACGCCTTGGAAGGGGACGCTGTGGTGCTCCTGCGCGCGCGAGACCTCTTCAACCTCTCGGCGCCCCTGG